TTCCACGACCCCTTTAGCCCCCCCCCCCAACCAACCGCCAAACCCCCCTTGCCACGACACCTTCCGAACCCACACCTCCCCACCCTTACCCCCTTACCCTTCCAAACCCCCCCACCTTACCCCGTTCACACTCGGATCAAATTTGCAATCAGTCATCTCAGCAATTACCTAATCAAAATTCAAGAAAAGATGATCAACTATGACTCACACCTGTCTTTTTCTTCTTTCGCAAAATGATCCATTAGAAGAAGCAGATATTCGTACCTCATGACCTGGTTTACTTTAATCCTTTAGGCTCACAAACTTTTTCACGCAAAATTTCTTAGCTGTAAAATAAAAGTAAAATGGATGAATTAGTTGCTTTGGATAAGATAATGGATCGAGAATGTGTAAGGCACAAGTTAATTACCTTACTGAAATCAGCTAGCATTTAAATCGACACAAATTATCCTTGAAGCACTAGCAATTTTTGCTCCGTCTGCAGCCTGACCAAAAGAGATTAGGTCATTATTAGTAAGAACATATATATATGGATTAAAAAAACAAAACAGAACAAGAAGGTTATTTGCAATGTGAAGAATACTCACAATAAGGCCAACAGCTCCTAGTCAAAAAATAGTCACACTTGAATCTTTTGTGGGTTTAGCAACATTCAAAGGTGCTCAAGACTTTCAAAAACATCTGAAAATAAAGGAATGAACATCCTATAATCAGCATGTGTAAATCATCTCAATAGATATACACAAAAAGATTCAACAGTGAAAATCTAATTAGAATCAAGTAAAGAGGAATTCAAGCAAGCACGCACAACAAAACAAAACTAAACTGACTAGTATAGCTTCTGATGGATGGTTCATTCCTTGAATAGGAAGTGAGTCACCTTCAATGAACATGATTATTTGAAGTGACTTCTTTTTGGGACTGCGAAGGCACAACTGAAGTGACTTTTCAAAGAGGATTGAGTATTTCTTATGGAATAATCAGATAAGGCCTTTTGTGGCTATCCATGTTGCTCCCTAAGTGATCAAAATGCTACATGAATGCCCTTCCCATATACCTTGGAAGTCACTGGTAGAAAAGAGACATCAAATGGAGAAGGCAAGCCAGCTTAATTGACCATTCCACCATATTGATGTACTTTAGATCTTGAAAAAACTAGATTCATGAACGATTAGCAAGTTATGGACCGATTTGTTTGCACCAATACTCTAATACTGTTGCAAGACTGGTACTAGAGCATGGTTGAGACCAATGTGAAAATGCAAATGCCAGATCCACAATATTTGGAAATGGGAGACCCCGGGCCTAATTGAACAAATAAAGAAAAGAAACCTATTGAAAATGCTCCTAATACAAACACTTCCTTCGTAGAGCCCTTGTAGCAACATCCGTACTTAAGCAATTCTTCTTATCCTATTTTTTTCTTAGTTGAAGTTCCTATATTCTCTTAATTAAAAACAGAATACACCTAACATTGGGAACTGCCTCAGCATCTAATAAGTTAAGATACAAAAATACATTATAAAGAGAGATTAAATGGAACAATCCTCAATTTCAAAATAAAAATCCACTAGGGCTGAAACAGAAGAAAGACTTTAGGATATCTGCTGGTCTTCTTCCACACAAATCCCAATAAAAATAAATGTTCCCAAATGTAAAGTGTAGCTTTCTTCTTCCTTTCTATTTTAATCTTATTTTAGGAAAATTAAGAAACGAACTACAGATGAATGTTTCAAACAACTGTAAATAACTTACTCTTTATCAAAAAAATGAATATTTCAGATAACTCTATCCTTGACTTACTGTTAAAATTGAGGAAAGAAATCAAGAAAAAAGACTCGTATCAAACAAACAAAACATCCAGGCTATCTCACATTTTTTACTACAGATCTTTAAAATAGCAATCAGTAAAACATAGACAACTCAACCAATAGATACTAATTTACCAGAAAGGGTAAAAATTTGTCTTTGAAAATGACAAGACATGATAAGAGCAAGTGAGCTTAAGGACAATAGAGCATACCTTCACCTTTTGGTGAGTGTCTTGAACAGTTTCACCATCCTTCTTCTTCCTCCATTGGTGACCATTTTATGTGAAGTTCTTTGTGCTAGGTCTGCCCGAGATCGATCTCTACCGAGGGAGCATGTCAACTTAGCTGACTGGGCAATGAATTTGCAAGAGAAGAGATAGATGGAACATATCATAGATCCGGACCTTCTGGGCAATGTAAGACCAGATTCCTTCAGCAAGTTTGGAGAAACGCAGTGAAATACTTAGCTGAATCTGGTGCACATTTCATCTATGGGTGAGGTGCTAAGGAATTTGGAGAATACACATCATCTCCAAGAGCCCGTCATTCAAGAAAACAGTACCATCCCTATTGGCGAGCTATCACTGCAAACATGCAGATGTGTGTGAAGAAGAAGAAATCCAACAACCTAAACAGTAAGCTAAAGAAGTGCAGTGTTGGCAAAACTACAAAAAAAAAGAATTTTTCAAACTACAGTATACCCACCCTATCATCAAAACTTCTGGAGTTCGTGAAAGTCTCTGCGAGATCTTTCTTTTTTGTTATGTTAACCGAGAAATCCGCCTGTGACCCGCTCTTTGGACCAACCATAGCCTTCTAAACTCAGTGGATAATAGGCCAGCCCTCTACCCCTCTCCACTTAAATTCCGAGCTTCACTTAGCATGGTGTGGGGCTCAAACCTGCGACACCACCTTCTTCCACTCGAGCTAAGCCTTGGAGGCAGTCTGTAAAAGATTATTATGCAAGCTTTCGATGGAAATTTGCCTCGATGATTGAAGATCATCCAACATTTTCAAGTTTACAAGCAGTGAATATTCAAACATCACCATCCTGCAACAAGAAAGATTGCACATTAACAAAAATGCATCAGTACAACACATAGTCCCCTTCAATTTATTAAGGTGCTACATCAACTTCTTTTATTGCAGATTTTAAGTTTGAGAGGCTGAGCTAGGAGAGGCTGGAGCAGACAAATGTATTAATGACATTAACAGGCTAAACTAAGATTGAGGGTGGAGAGATACACATAACTTTACATTAAAAGTGATGCAATAGCTCTGAAAATCACTGCACATTATTCAAATTATTTAACAGATTCTGTCATAAAATAAATAAATATATACTTCATATGCTCTCTATTTGAGTTAATAAAAACAAAAGGAGATTCAATGCAGGCTATCATGCAATAAATCAGTTTGAGTCTTGCTCTTCCTCCTCATATTAAATGTTCTAAATTGAGTTCTCATGGTGATGGACTAGTGATTGTGTCAAGGAACTTTGAGCTGCTTTTGAACAGAGTGCACCACTCACAATGAGGTCCAACTACTACTGCTATTGCTGATGTTAATGCTCTATTTGTTTTCAAAAGTGAAAGAAAGGAAAAGGACTAGAAGAGGCCTGTTAGTTTTGGTAATGGAGAAATAAAGCAAGAGGCTCAGATTATGTCATGGGGCTTTCAGTTCGTTTTGCCAAGCCATAGCTACAACTATTCAGAAATTCAGATCGCCCCGACAATGTACCAGCTAGAAAACTCTAATGTTTTCCAACAAAACTTGAGCCATTGAAAGACTAGGCTCACTAAAAGTCTAAGGGAGATACTACTCTAACCAAAATTACATACTATTTTCATGTTGAAATGTAATGTTCATTCTACTCAGATGACAAATCATTTGCAGCATATCCTCATTGAAGACTGTGACAGACTAAAACTTGTAGATCGAAGTTAGGATTAAAAGGGTATTTGCTTGTATTGGTGGGAAAATTTTTGACATCCCTGCATCATGTGTTCCTCGTTTTTTAAAGTATGTTATTTCTCTGAGGTTTTATCACCTAGAACGTTTACATCTAAGCACAAATAGCATTTTAAAACATAAGTGGAAGTAGTAGAGTAGTTCTCGTAAGTTAGAACACACTAATTGATTAATCACAAGAATTGTGACAAAAATAGATCTTTTTATTAAATGAATTAAAGAAGTGTTACCCGTATGACAGCCATCCACCAAGCTATGTCCTTTCACTGCCTAGTTCAAGCTTATCCCATCAGATCCATTGAGGGCAACCACTCTTCAGGTCCATAGGATCTTCTCAATTCCATATGCATGAAAATATGGGCATCCATCATCAGTTTACCAAGTCTGGAAGCTGCTTCCGTTGCATATATCTGATGAGTACCCCAAAGCTTCTAGCTCTGTGGATGATACAAGGGTTGCTTTCCTGATTAGCCAATGTTCTGAAAAAAGAACACAACCTAGACCAAGAAAAAAAATACTCAATTAACGAAAAGAGAACATAGAAGGCACTATCAGGAGATGAGTGAACCAAGCTGCAACTCCCCACAACTCTCAGAAGCACAGAAGTTCAATGCTTTAAACAAGATTCTAGAGATCCCTTCTCACCATTCTAAATAAATGCCACTTTAATCAGAAGGACAAAAGTATTAAAATCCTGGAAAGCAAAAGAAAATAGCTATTAGTTACTAGTTCAAAAATTATTTCATATTGGCAATTCCTTATACAGTTCATAATCGTAATAAGTTCCAGAAATGCACCTGAAGGAAGACTAGGCAGACATCTGAGGGAGCATTTGATGAAAGTCTCCATCTTAAATACTACAGTTCTCCATACTGCACTAATGCCCATTTCTGGAACAATGATACGTTGATAATGAGCTCATCTAAAATCCTTTTCAATATGTTGAGGGTGAAGTCTTGCAACTCCCACCAAATCTCAGTAGCCCAGAAATTCAAAGCTTTTATACAAGATCTTAGAGCTTCCCTTTCACCATGATTAAAAGATGCCTCGTTCATCAGAAAGACAAAACATTTAAAAATCTGGAAAAGCAAAAGAAAACAGCTTTGAGTTACCAGTTAAAAAAATACTTCACATTAGCAATTCCATATATAGTTCATGACCGTATTAGGTTTCACAAACGCACCTAATCTTGTCTTTTAAGAGAGTAGAGGTGTAGGTTAATATAAACAATGAGTTGAAGAAGATAGGGAATTTTTGCTTTATTAGACATAAATTTTTGCATAAGCTGTGGATAATTCCTCATTAAAGCAATGGTTATATAATACATAGAACTTTCAAACACGTCCTGGCGAACATTCAAAGAATTCAGTATCCCGGAGTAGTATGGCGGAACAACACCAACATAATTTCCCATTGACAAAGAACACATAAAAAGGGACCTTACCAAATTACCTCAAACATCATGTTCAATAGTCTAGCCATTGGAGCTTTCGGATCCTTCTCATAGTGTTCCACCCAATTCTTGGTCTTTTCTCAAACAAAAGCGACTAGCTAGAAGCTCCTTTTCTAGGATAGTAAGTTTAGCACTCCATGGTGATGATGCAACGAAGTCCTTCTCCCTTCAACATTAATTAAAAAAGCCTTGTCGATTTCATAGTATGGGAAGTGTATGAGTGATGAATTTCTCCAATTCAAGTTCCTTATTCATGTATTTCTCAACAAAAGAAGGAATATCCGAACGAGGTGTCCAGTTTCCAAAGAAGGTTACTTTGATAGTACTTTCATTAAAAAGTTCAAAGGTGTGTCTTGAACACAGCTTCCTTATGGGGTTACATACCAAAAAGGACAGCCACTACCACACCTGAAAATTAATAACGACAATGTTCGTTAAGATAATTATATAAATAATAATATACAATTAAGGAAATTTGATGACAGAAAACATACATCATGGACAATTCAAATGCTGAAATCATAACATCAATATGGCCAGTACACTTCACACTCGGATCATATTTGCAATCAGTCATCTCAGCAATTACCTAATCAAATAATCAAAATTCAAGAAAAGATGATCAACTATGACTCACACCTCTCTTTTTCTTCTTTCGCAAAATGATCCATTAGGAGAAGTAGATATTAGTACCTCTTGACCTAGTTTACTTTTAATCCTTCGGGTTCACAAACTTTGTCACACAAAATTTCTTAGCTGTAAAATAGAAGTAAAATGGATGAATTAGTTGCTTTGCTATATAAGATAATGGATCGAGAATGTGTAAGGCACAAGTTAATTACCTTACTGAAATCAGCTAGCATTTAAATCGACAAAAATTATCCTTGAAGCACTAGCAATTTTTGCTCCGTCTGCAGCCTGACCAATATAGATTAGATCATTATTAGTAAGACTAACATATATATGGATTAAAAAACTAAACAGAACAAGAAGGTTATTTTCAATATGAAGAATACTCACAATAAGGCCAACAGCTCCTAGTCAAAAAATAGCCACACTTGAATCTTTTGTGGGTTTAACAACATTCAAAGGTGCTCCAAGACTTTCAAAAACATCTACAAATAAAGGAATGAACATCCTATCATCAGCATGTGTAAATCATCAAAATAGATATATACAAAAAGGATTCAACAGTGAAAATCTAATTAGAATCGAGTAAAGAGGAATTCAAGCAAGCACGCACAACAAAACAAAACTAAACTGACTAGTATAGCTTCTGATGGATGGTTCATTCCTTGAATAGGATGTGAGTCACCTTCAATGAGCAGGATTATTTGAAATGACTTTATTTGGGACTGGGAAGGCACAACTGAAGTGACTTTTCAAAGAGGATTGAGTATTTCTTATGGAATAATCACTCGTAGGGAAGAGACATCAAATGGAAAGGTCAAGCTAGCTGATTTGACCATTCCACTATATTGATTTAATTTAGATCTTGAAAAAATTAGAATGATGAACGATTCGCATGTGAAGGACCGATCTCTTTGCACCAATACTTTAATACTATTGCAAGACTGGTAGTAGAGCATGGTTGAGACCAATGTGAAAATATAAATGCCAGATCCAGTCTTTGGAAATGGAAGACCCCAGGCCTCATTGAACAAATACACAAAAGAAACCTATTGAAAATGCTCCTAATCCGAACACTTCCTTCGTAGAGCCCATGTAGCAATATACTTAAGCAATTCTTCTTATCCTAATTTATTCTTAGTTGAAGTTCCTATATTCTCTTAATTGAAAAGAGAATACACCTAACCTGGGGAACTGCATCAGCAGCTAATAAGTAAGCTACAAAAATATATTATAAAGAGAGCAATAAAATGGTACAATCCTCAACTTAAAAAAAATTCACTAAGGCTGAAACAGAAGAAAGACTTTAGGATATCTGATGGTCTTCTTCCACACAAATCCCAATAAAAATAAATGTAACCAAATGTGAAGTGTAGCATGCTGCTTCCGTTCTATTTCAATCTCTTTTTAGGAAAATCAAGAAACGGACTATAGATGAATGTTTCAAACAACTGTACATAAACTCTTTATTAAAAAATGAATGTTTCATCTAACTCTATCCATGACTTACTATTAAAATTGAGGAAAGAAATCAAGAAAAAGGACTCTTAATCAAACAAAAACAACATCCAGGCTATCTCATCTTTTCACCACAGAGCTTTAAATATGACATCAGAAAAACATACACAACTCCATCAATAGATACTAATTTACCAGCAAGTGAGCTTAAGGACAATAGAGCATACCTTCACCTTTTGGTGAGTGTCTTTAATAGTTCTTTTACAGTTTCATCAGCATCCTTCTTCCTCCAATGGTAACCATTTTATGCGAAGTTAAAGTGCTAGGCCTGCCCGAGATTGATCTCTTCCGAGGGAGCATGTCAACTTAGCTGACTGGACAATGAATTTGCAGGAGAAAAGACAACTGGAACATATCATATATCCCGACATTCTGGGCGAAGTAAGACCAGATTCCTTCAGCAACTTTGGCGAAACGCAGTAAAATACTTAGCTGAATCTGGTGCACATTCAATCTATGGGTGAGGTGCTAAGGAATTTGGAGAATACACTTCATCTCCAAGAGCCCGTCATTCAAGAAAACAGTACCATCCCTATTGGCGAGCTATCACTGCAAACGTGCAGATGCGTGTGAAGAAGAAGAAATCCAATAACCTAAACAGTAAGCGAAAGAAGTGGAGTGTTGGCAAAACTACAGAAAAAAAAGAATTTTTCAAACTACAGTATACGCACCTATCATCAAAACTTCTGGAGTTCGCGAAAGTCTCTGCGAGATCTTTCTTTTTTGTTATGATAACCGAGAAATCCTCCTGTGACCCGCTCTTTGGACCTATCATAGCCTTCTAAACTCAGTGGATAATAGGCCCGCCCTCTACCCCTCTCCACTTAAATTCCGGGCTTTACTTTGCATGGTGTGGGGCTCAAACCTGCGACACCACCTTCTTCCACTAGAGCTAAGCCTTGGAGGCAGTCTGTGCAAGATTATTATGCAAGCTTTCAATGGAAATTTACTTCGATAATTATAGATCATCCAACATTTTCAAGTTTACAAGCAGTGAATATTCAAACATCACCTCCTGCAACAAGAAAGATTGCACATTAACAAAAATGCATCAGTACAACACGTCCCCTTCAATTTATTAAGGTGCTACATCAACTTCTTTTATTTCAGATTTATGTTTGAGAGGCTGAGCTAGGAGAGGCTGGAGCAGACAAATGTTTAAATGACATTAACAGGCTAAACTAAGATTGAGGGTGGAGAGATACACATAACTTTACATTAAAAGTGATGCAATAGCTCTGAAAATCACTGAACATTATTCAAATTATTTAACAGATTCTGTCATAAAATAAAAAAATATATACTACATATGCTCTCTATTTGAGTTAATAAAAACAAAAGGAGATTCAATGCAGGCTATCATGCAATAAATCAGTTTGAGTCTTGCTCTACCTCCTCATATTAAATGTTCTAAATTGAGTTCTCATGGGGATGGCCTAGTGATTGTGGCAAGGAACTTTGAGGTGCTTTTGAACAGAGTGCATCACTCACAATGAGGTCCAACTACTACTGCTATTGCTGATGTTAATGCTCTATTTGTTTTCAAAAGTGAAAGAAAGGAAAGGACTAGAAGAGGCCTGTTAGTTTTGGTAATGGAGAAATAAAGCAAGAGGCTCAGATTATGTCATGGGGCTTTCAGTTCTTTTTGCCAAGCCATAGCTACAAATATTCAGAAATTCAGATCGCCCCGACAAGATACCAGCTAGAAAACATTAATCTCTTCCAACCAAACTTGAGCCATTGGAAGACTAGGCTCACTAAAAGTCTAAGGGAGATACTACTCTAACCAAAATTACATACTATTTTCATGTTGAAATGTAATGTCCACTCTACTCAGATGACAAATCATTTGCAGCATATCCTCATTGAAGACTGTGACAGACTGAAACTTGTAGATCGAATTTAGGATTAAAAGGGTATTTGCTTGTATTGGTGGGAAAATTTTTGACATCCCTGCATCATGTGTTCCACGTTTTTTAAAGTACGTTATTTCTCTGAGGTTTTATCATCTAGAACGTTTACATCTAAGCACAAATAGTATTTTAAAACATAAGTGGAAGTAGTAGAGTAGTTCTCATAAGTTAGAACACACTAATTGATTAATCACAAGAATTGTGACAAAAATAGATCTTTTTATTAAATGAATTAAAGAAGTGTTACCCGTATGACAGCCATCCACCAAGCTATGTCCTTTCACTGCCTAGTTCAAGCTTATTCCATCAGATCCACTGAGGGCAACCACTCTTCAGGTCCATAGGATCTTCTCAATTCCATATGCATGAAAATAAGGGCATCCATCATCAGTTTACCAAGTCTGGAAGCTGCTTCCGTTGCATATATCTGATGAGTACCCCAAAGCTTCTAGCTATGTGGATGATACAAGGGTTGCTTTCCTGATTAGCCAATGTTCTGAAAAAAGAACACAACCTAGACCAAGAAAAAAATACTCAATTAACGAAAAGAGAACATAGAAGGCACTATCAGGAGATGAGTGAACCAAGCTGCAACTCCCCACAACTCTCAGAAGCACAGAAGTTCAATGCTTTACACAAGATTCTAGAGATTCCTTCTCACCATTCTAAATAAATGCCACTTTAATCAGAAGGACGAAAGATTTAAAATCCTGGAAAGCAAAACAAAATAGCTATTAGTTACTAGTTCAAAAATTATTTCATATTGGCAATTCCTTATACAGTTCATAATCGTAATAAGTTCCAGAAATGCACCTGAAGGAAGACTAGGCAGACATCTGAGGGAGCATTTGATGAAAGTCTCCATCTTAAATACTACAGTTCTCCATACTGCACTAATGCCCATTTCTGGAACAATGATACGTTGATAATGAGCTCATCTATAATCCTTTTCAATATGTTGAGGGTGAAGTCTTGTAACTCCCACCAAATCTCAGTAGCCCAGAAATTCAAAGCATTTATACAAGATCTCAGAGCTTCCCTTTCACCATGATTAAAAGATGCCTCGTTCATCAGAAAGACAAAACATTTAAAAATCTGAAAAAGCAAAAGAAAACAGCTTTGAGTTACCAGTTAAAAAAACACTTCACATTAGCAATCCCATATATAGTTCATGATCATAATAGGTTTCACAAAAGCACCTAATCTTGTCTTTTAAGAGAGTAGAGGTGTAGGTTCATATAAACAATGAGTTTAAGAAGATAGGGAATTTTTGCATTATTAGACATAAATTTGTGCATAAGCTGTGGATAATTCCTCATCATAGCAATGGTTATATAATACATAGAACTTTCAAACACGTCCTGGCGAGCATTCAAAGAATTCAGTATCCCGGAGTAGTATGGCGGAACAACACCAACATAATTTCTCATTGACAAAGAACACATAAAAAGGGACCTTACCAAATTACCTCAAACATCATGTTCAATAGTCTAGCCATTGGAGCTTTCGGATCCTTCTCATAGTGTTCCACCCAATTCTTGGTCTTTTCTCAAATAAAAGCGACTAGCTAGAAACTCCTTTTCTAGGATAGTAAGTTTAGCACTCCCATGGTGATGATGCAACGAAGGCCTTCTCCCTTCAACATTAATTAAAAAAGCCTTGTCGATTTCATAGTATGGGAAGTGTATGAGTGATGAATTTCTCCAATTCAAGTTCCTTATTCATGTATTTCTCAACAAAAGAAGGAATATCTGAACGAGGTGTCCAGTTTCCAAAGAAGGTTACTTTGATAGTACTTTCATTAAAAAGTTCAAAAGTGTGTCTTGAACACAGCTTCCTTATGGGGTACATAACAATAAGGACAGCCACTACCACACCTGAAAATTAATAACGACAATTTTCGTTAAGATTATTATATAAATAATAATATACAATTAAGGAAATTTGATGATAGAAAACATACATCATGGACAATTCAAATGCTGAAATCATAACATCTATATGGCCAGTACACTTCACACTCAATCAGTCATCTCAGCAATTACCTAATCAAATAATCAAAATTCAAGAAAAGATGATCAACTATGACTCACACCTGTCTTTTTCTTCTTTCGCAAAATGATCCATAAGGAGAAGTAGATATTAGTACCTCTTGACCTAGTTTACTTTAATCCTTCGGGTTCACAAACTTTGTCACACAAAATTTCTTAGCTGTAAAATAGAAGTAAAATGGATGAATTAGTTGCTTTGCTATATAAGATAATGGATCGAGAATGTGTAAGGCAGAAATTAATTACCTTACTGAAATCAGCTAGCATTTAAATCGACACAAATTATCCTTGAAGCACTAGCAATTTTTACTCCGTCTGCAGCCTGACCAAAAGAGATTAGATCATTATTAGTAAGATTAACATATATCTGGATTAAAAAAACAAAACAGAAAAAGAAGGTTATTTGCAATGTGAAGAATACTCACAATAAGGCCAACAGCTCCTAGTCAAAAAATAGCCACACTTGAATCTTTTGTGGGTTTAAACAACATCAAAGGTGCTCCAAGACTTTCAAAAACATCTGCAAATAAAGGAATGAACATCCTATCATCAGCATGTGTAAATCATCTCAATAGATATACACAAAAAGGATTCAACAGTGAAAATCAAATTAGAATCGAGTAAAGAGGAATTCAAGCAAGCACGCACAACAAAACAAAACTAAACTGACTAGTATAGCTTCTGAGGGATGGTTCATTCCTTGAATAGGATGTGAGTCACCTTCAATGAGCAGGATTATTTGAAATGACTTTATTTGGGACTGGGAAGGCACAACTGAAGTGACTTTTCAAAGAGGATTGAGTATTTCTTATGGAATAATCACTGGTAGGGAAGAGACATCAAATGGAAAGGTCAAGCTAGCTGATTTGACCATTCCACTATATTGATTTAATTTAGATCTTTAAAAAACTAGATTCATGAATGATTAGCAAGTGAAGGACCGATCTCTTTGCACCAATACTTTAATACTGTTGCAAGACTGGTAGTAGAGCATAATTGAGACCAATGTGAAAATACAAATGCCAGATCCAGTCTTTGGAAATGGAAGACCCCAGGCCTCATTGAACAAATACACAAAAAAAACCTATTGAAAATGCTCCTAATCCGAACACTTCCTTCGTAGAGCCCATGTAGCAATATACTTACTTAAGCAATTCTTCTTATCCTAATTTATTCTTAGTTGAAGTTCCTATATTCTCTTAATTGAAAAGAGAATACACCTAACCTTGGGAACTGCATCAGCAGCTAATAAGTAAGCTACAAAAATATATTATAAAGAGAGCAATAAAATGGTACAATCCTCAACTTAAAAAAAAATCCACTAAGGCTGAAATAGAAGAAAGACTTTAGGATATCTGATGGTCTTCTTCCACACAAATCCTAATAAAAATAAATGTGCCCAAATGTGAAGTGTAGCATTCTGCTTCCGTTCTATTTCAATCTCTTTTTAGGAAAATCAAGAAACGGACTATAGATGAATGTTTCAAACAACTGTACATAACTCTTTATTAAAAAATGAATGTTTCATCTAACTCTATCCATGACTTACTATTAAAATTGAGGAAAGAAATCAAGAAAAAGGACTCTTAATCAAACAAAAACAACATCCAGGCTATCTCAGCTTTTCACCACAGAGCTTTAAATATGCCATCAGAAAAACATACACAACTCCATCTATAGATACTAATTTACCAGCAAGTGAGCTTAAGGACAATAGAGCATACCTTCACCTTTTGGTGATTGTCTTTAATAGTTCTTTAACAGTTTCCTCAGCATCCTTCTTCCTCCAATGGTAACCATTTTATGTGAAGTTAAAGTGCTAGGCCTGCCCGAGATCAATCTCTTCCGAGGGAGCAGGTCAACTTAGCTGACTGGGCAATGAATTTGCAGGAGAAAAGACAACTGGAACATATCATATATCCCGACATTCTGGGCGAAGTAAGACCAGATTCCTTCAGCAACTTTGGAGAAACGCAGTGAAATACTTAGCTGAATCTGGTGCACAGGCCATCTATGGGTGAGGTGCTATGGAATTTGGAGCATGCACTTCATCTTCAAGAGCCCGTCATTCAAGAAAATACTACCATCCCTATTGGCGAGCTATCACGGCAAATATGCAAATGTGTGTTAAGAAGTTGAATTCCAATAACCTAAATAGTAAGCGAAAGAAGTGGAGTGTTGGCAAAACTACAGAAAAAAGAATTTTTCAAACTACAGTATACCCATTCTATCATCAAAACTTCTGGAGTTCGCGAAAGTCTCTGCGAGATCTTTCTTTTTTGTTATGATAACCGAGAAATCCGCCTGTGGCCCACCCTTTGGACCAATCATAGCCTTCTAAACTCAGTGGATAATGGACCCGCCCCTCTACCCTTCTCCACTTAAATATCGGGCTTCACTTTGCATGGTGTGGGCTTGAACCTGCGACCTAAGACTCAAATCCATCCCCTTTTTCCACTCGAGCTAAGCCTTGGAGACTGTCTGTGCAAGATCATTATAGAAGATTTCGATGGAAATTCGCCTTGACAATTGAAGATCATTCAACCTTTTCAAGTTTACAAGCAGTGAATATTCAAGCATCACCATCCTGCAACAACAAAAATTGCACATTTAACATAAATGCATTCAATTTGTTGAGGTGCTACAACAACTTCTTTTATTGCAGATTTAATAATAGTTGTTAGGTATAGGTGCTTTTCTTCTAGTATAGAATAGCTAACCTTGAAGATGCTAAAATCTCTCAAATTGAAAACATCAGGTGGAAAAATTTCGTGAGAAAATATGTATCAATATCTTCAAAATCGAAAAATGTGGAAAAACTAACCAAGTTAAGAAGTGTAGCAAGAATTTCAGGTGGGATATTTGGAGAAGAAAATGTCATTTCTAAACTCCGTACTAGCCTCACTAAGTTGTGACCAGCAACTAACAAAACCTGCAGCAAACAGCTCTCGCCCAACAAAAAGGCTGCAAACATTCAACATTAGAAAAAAGTAAGACAACTAGAAGCGCTTACTTTTTTTTAGAAAGTCTTTAAGCTATTGTTTCTTTTTCTAATGAACAATGAAACAGAGGTTTTGTATTATTTATTTTTTTGAGATAAAGGTATCCTGATAAGGATGAGGATGTTGAAGAGGTAATACCTGTAGTTGAGCCAGTGTTGTACATGTTCTTATTGCTGGACTAGGTGATTCTTTCAAAAGTTCAATGTTGAAATGCCTATCCACTCTGCCCAATCATCTTTAGTACTCTGTTGATAAGCCTCACTGGCGGTACACAATCTGCTGCAATCATTGACCTACACAAAAATTATCTTATAAGAACAAATTTAGTATAAGCCTTTATATTGTCATAGTAGTGATAGGGAGAACCCAAAAAATCAATGCAGATCTGCAACCTATGTTTAACCATAATCTTAAGAATAGAAGGAATAAAAATGGTGAAGTCCTCTACAAGAGCATGAACTAGGCAACAAAGTGCAACAATGGCATCTTTCCTGAGCTCTTCTTTGTTCCTTTGTATGGAAGGGAGCACCCACAATTTATCAACATAAACTTAAAGAAAGTATTGCAGAAATTACATCGTACAAAGCCTTTATCAGGTTCAATAACTTACAATTCAGTCTGCTTAGTATTAAAATAGAAAGGATTAGGTCGAAAACGATAATCTAAAATCCCATGAGTACTCGAAAACAGGAATAGTAGAATCGTCTTGCAATTGTTCATGACATAAGGAAAGGAATTGCATTCAAAATGAAGTTTGGACAGACATGAGAAAAAATCTTGCAATGTTGACTGAAATTGAAACACTAATTTAATGATTTTAAACTTTAATGTTTGATTCAGCATTTTCCAGCGATTTGTGTCAAATTAGTGGATGACCTTCAGTAAAAGGAAGCAGAAGCTGCAATTAGTATACACTCCAAGGCAATAAATCAAAGTTCAAGGTTCACTTCTATATAAATGTGTCTGAGTGTAGATACATATGGGTCAGAATTTGATGTCTGAGAGTGTACTCACTAGAACCAACATCAAAACTGACAAACAGTAGATCTTGTCGTTTCATTTGTTATCTATTGATTTGAAGAAAATAAGTCTCTATATTCTGAGTGATGTTAATGTGAAGGAGAAAAATCAGACCCTCCAAAAGAAGCTTCAAGTGATGTACAAGCGAATATAAGAAAACAAACAATCAAATGGAAACAATGACACTTAGAACATTCCCTTTAGTCCCTTATACACCAACATGAACACTAGGTATCAATCTTGTAAGAGTTTTGGTTGCACCACATCTTACTGTTACTGAAGCGTCCACTTTAAAAAGCCAAAATATGTGCAGAAAGAAGAAGATGCATATGCTTATCAAATGTCCCAACACCTTAGGGCCTAAATATTAAACCATATATCATACACCTTAAACCTTAGAGTCTAAACCCTAAACCATGTGGCCTAAACCATAAACCACGTCTTACTTCTACTGAAACGTCCACTTTAAAAAGCCAAAATAAGTGTAGAAAAAAAGAAGATGCATATGGTCATCTAATGTCCCTACACCTTAGGGCCTAAATACTAAACCATATATCATTAACCTTAAACCTTAGAGCCTAAACCCTAAACCATGTGCCTAAACCATAAACCCAAAACCTTAAACCTTAGGGTCTTGATCGCGCCCCATTTTTCCGGATTTTTTCTCTCTCTACATTTTCTCTCTCTTTGCAAAAGCTCTCTTTCACACAACGGCTGAAACTCCTCAATCGTCAGCGCCGCCGCCGGCAGCCGTCAGATGGCCACCGGACCAAAACCAAAAGGGGCGCCTTGATGAGAGCTCCTTAACCATACATAGCACGCCCCAAAATCAATCTCAGAACGCCTCGAATCTGCAGTACAAAGATGCGATGAACCTGCTTTTTCTGAAGGAGTCGTCTTTGAAGATCGCGAAAATATTTCCCCACGAATTTCAGGATGGAATCGAGAGGAATCGAGTAGGGAAATGAATTCCCCTCATCATGATCTACTACAAGTCCAACAATTAGCCATTTCCATCGTCCCAATCGCTCAGACGAGAGAGGCGAATTTGGAAGAAATCGCGACGAAGTCGCCTGAGTCGCACATCGATATTCAACCGACTTCCAGTTCGATTCACAGGGATTCGATCACTGGGGTTTGTTCCCCCAAGGATGAGGACCCTCTCAGCCAAAATTCGAAGCAAATGGACAGTCGAATCGCCGCAGTGAAAATTCCGGCGACCTTACTGTTCCATACGCCGGAATTAATGGAAGCTCATCGAAAGAGGCTGACTCTCAAGCTCAAAATACTCAAGTAACAATTTCAATCAATCATCCTAACAGTGGAATCATCACACCAATGATCCAGCATCCTCCACAAATCGCAATTCAAATGCTCATCCTGGGCGACATGAAAGGGCAGGGGAAACGTCAAGTTGTGCTCGAGGAGAGGAACGACATATCTCTGCAATTGTTCCTCACGCAATTGAAGCAAAAACAATGGCTAAAGGAAACGACAATCACCAGGAGGAAGATTCGAATGAACAACAGGGCAATAATAAGAAAAACATGCAGGAACTTCTAATTTTTCCTTTGCAATGACAAGTACTTCATCACATTTAACCCCTAATCTTAATGCAGGTAACTCTCCAAAAATGCATAACCAACAAGACAGGTCGAAGAGAAGAGACAGCAAATGAGCAAAGTCATGAACAAGAACAGGGGCAGAATGCTAAGGCAGAAATAGCAAAGACATCAAACCAACCAAACAAAAATCAAAAAGGAGGAAATGGAAAAAATGAGGTGCAGAATCAATCAAAAACACAGCTGACTCAGGGGCAGCAAGAGGAGATACAAGAAGAATAATGGCAAATACAAAGGAGGAGACACCAAAAAACTCAGGAACAGGCCACTTCCAATGCTGTGTGGAGACCTGTCATTCCTCCAGCACAAAAAAACAGCAGCAGCCAGCAGCATGAGCAGGAAAATACAGGTGTATCCAACCTTCCAACTCAAAATATTTTTACAAATCTTGAAGTGCAGGAAAAACAGGATAGGCAGCAAGCTGAACAGATTGGGATCAGGGAAGCAGCAGGTCAAATAAACCAATCCAGCAATGGAAACTTAATGAACAACCAGTCAGAAACAATCCAAATAACCACAACACTTCACACCAACAGACTGTTGACAGCAATAAAAGCAAGAGAACAGGTATTGACTTATCTCTCCCAAACCCCAAACCCCCCAATATTATTGATGTTGACGCTGGTTTTACTGATGAAGTAGTTGGAGGTATGGATGGGGGGTGTCAGGAGATAGCCACTAACTTGCAGGAAGGGGATACCAAAGGGGGGAATTTGCCTCATGTTATGCATGTGGAGTTGGTTCATGACCTTAGGACAGACCATAGAGCCCCTAAGAATGCTGAAAACAATCAGAAACAAAAAGAGCAACTACAGCAGCAAGTTCAAAACAGTGACAGCAGGAAACAGGCTGCCAAAGAAAAAATAAAGGAACAAATTGAAAAAATGAATGACAAGGGCCAAGAGAAGCAAAGTGTTACTATGGTTAATGAAAGCACTCCTAAGAGTAAGAATAAACCTAGTAAACAAAAAAGAGACGCTGCAAAGAAGAGACAAAGCAAGCAGCAAGACAAGGATATGGAACAAGAGCAAGAAGTAAGGGAAGAATTATGTAACAAATTTGTGATGGTTGATGATAACCAAGGTTTGAATATTCCTCCCTTACAAGTTCAATACATGACCCCTCATACTTCAGACCCTCCGGATAAAACGCAACAAAAGTGTAGACTCAATACTGAACATATCCTGGATGAATATGATGTGATCAATTCAGAAGATGATCCGGTTGAGGATAACCAATCTCTACAAGACTCTGATGATAATGATGAGACTAGTCAGGCTCTTATTAGGGCCTTCAGTCCTTATAAAGATCAGACAATAGAGAATGAGATCCAACAAGTCACTAAAAATCAGAGCTTATCTCCAAGGAGCTTCCAACAAGACAGATTTCACTTCACTAAGCAAGACGCCAATACTGTCACTGCTGGCAGACCTAACACTAGGCTCTTTTCATCCAGATCTTCCCAATGATTAGTACAATCATATGGAATGTGAGGGGAATCAACACTCAAGGAGTATTGGAAAGACTCAAAATGCTAGGAAAATGCACCATTTGTCAATTATTGCAATTTTGGAACCTTTCTCTGATAATGTTAATATTCAAAGCTTCAAAGTGCAATTGAACATGGATAATGCTACTAGTAATTGTAATAGTAAGATTTGGGTTTTTTGGAACAGTGATATTGACTGTAATATTCTTGATGAAGATGAACAGCAAATTACTTGTGACATGAAACACAATGAATTACAATACCAATTTACTACTACCTTTATCTATGCAAAATGCAAAGAATATCTAAGGAGACCTTTATGGGAGAAATTGCTTCATCATGCCTCAGTTAGTACCAATCCCTGGTGTGCAGTAGGGGATTACAATGTTATTTCTGATGTGGAGGAAAAACTAGGTGGCCTACCCTACAATATGAAGAAGAGTATGGATTTCATTGCTGTCATTGAAGCCTGTGGGCTTATAGACATAGATTTCAGTGGTCACAGATTTACTTGGTCTAATAAGAGGGGCATTAATCATAGAATTTGGAAAAGACTCGACAGGGCTCTGGTTAATGATTCATGGTTAGAAAAGATGCCTCAAACCACCATAACCCACTTATCATCTACGGGGTCAGATCATTGTCCTTTACTCTTGGAAATGGTATCCACTGAAGCCGACCACATCAAATATTTCAAATTAACTGTTGGGTTGACAACCCCAACTTTATGCTTACTGTTAAAAACTGTTGGGATAGACCTGTGGAAGGTCATGCTATGTGGAAATTTCACCAGAAAATGAAAAGATTGTCTAACACTCTGAGTGTTTGGTCTAGAGATGAATTTGGGGATATTTTTCAAAAGGTTAGGATGTATGAGGAACAAGTGCATGAAGCGGAAGAAAACTACATCCTGAACCAAACTGATTCAAATAGGAGTATCCTCTATGAACTCAATGCTCAATATATCAAATTCCTCAAATGTGAGGACACCATTTTGAAACAAAAAAAACTCAGCTTCAATGGTTTAAAGATGGCGACACCAACTCCAAATATTTTCACTCCATTATAAGGGGAAGGAGGAGGAAATTATTCATTCATAAAATTGCTACTGAAAATGGGGATTGGATACAAGGTGAAAACAATATTGCTCAGGAGGCTTGTGAGCACTTCCATACCATTTTCACAGGTGAGAATAGATATATCAATGATCACAACCTGGAATGCATTCCCAGAATGGTCAATGTAGATCAAAATACTCAGCTTACAAAGTTACCTGACATGGATGAGATTAAAGAGGTAGTATTTGCCATGAATCCTAATTCTACAGCTGGTCCTGATGGTATGAATGGATACTTCTTCCAGAAATGCTGGAACATTATCAAGAGTGATTTGATAGAAGTACAACATGCATTTTTCAGTGGTCAAATGATTCCTAAGTATTTCTCTCATTCTTGCATTGTGTTGCTCCCTAAAGTGAATAATCCAAACAAGCTTACAGAGTTTAGGCTGATAAGTCTGAGTAACTTCACTAGTAAGATTATATCTAAACTAGTAAGTAATAGACTTAGCCCTATCCTCCCGTCTTTGATTTCTACCAACCAGTTTGGTTTTGTGAAAGGGAGAAGTATTTCTGAAAATATCATGCTCGCTCAGGAAATCATTCACCAAATCAAGAAACCCAACATTGGAAGTAATGTAATTATCAAATTAGACATGGCAAAAGCTTATGACAGGGTCTCTTGGTCATATATTTGTTTGGTTCTAAGGAAAACGGGGTTTAATAAGGTGTTTATTGATATGATTTGGAGAATCATGGCCAACAATTGGTACTCCATTATTGTCAATGGCAAAAGGCATGGTTTCTTCCGCTCTACTAGAGGCCTCAAACAAGGTGATCCTCTCTCCCTGGCCCTATTTATTTTAGGTGTCGAGGTATTATCGAGATCACTCAATAGGCTGCACATTCACCCGGATTATCAAGTTTTCATCATGGAAAAAAAGGGGCCCCAAGTGAATCATCTAAGTTTTGCAGATGACATTATTCTTTTCACTTCGGGAAGATCCAAAACCCTGAAACTCCTTATGAATACCTTAAAGGAGTACGAAGAGATTTCGGGGCAACTCATCAACGGAGATAAAAGCCATTTTATGCTACACCCTATTACTTACCTAGGTTGCCCTTTATTTGTTGGCAGACCTAGGAATGTTTATTTTTCTGATCTTATTAACAAAGTCATTTCCAGAATTACAGGTTGGCAAACTAGGCAACTTAGTATGGTGGAAAGGCTGTACTTTCCAAACATGTTCTCCATGCCTTGCCTATACATCTCTTATCTGCAGTAACTCCTCCAAATACAATCATCAGACAGATCCAAATGCTCATTGCAGATTTCTTCTGGGGATGGCAGAACAATAGAAAAAAATCCCATTGGTCCTCTTGGAAAAATCTGAGCTATCCTTATGAGGAAGGAGGGATAGGGATGAGAAATTTACATGATGTTTGTAGATCTTTCCAATTCAAGCAATGGTGGATATTGAGAACAAAACAAACCTTGTGGGTAGACTTCTTGAGAGCTAAATACTGCCAGAGATCAAATCCGGTGAGCAAAAAATGGGATACGGGAGAATCTTTAACTTGGAAACACATGTTAAATACTAGACAGCAAATGGAACAGCACATTCATTGGAGACTTCAATCCGGGAATTGTTCATTTTGGTGGGACAATTGGCTTGGAACATGGCCATTAGCTCATCATACCAGCAGCTGCAACAGGTTCAAAAACACCACAATTGCAGATTTCTGGGAAAATGGGGGATGGAACTGGAGGAAATTGGTAAAATACGCACCAGTCAGCCACCTAGGCAGCATCATGGCCACAGAAATCCCTCATCAGCAGCACATGCCTGACCAAGCTTTATGGAAACTTAGCAGCCATGGCAGTTTCAGTTGCTCCACTGGTTGGGAGGAAATCAGAAACAAAAAGGCTAAGAACAACCTCAATTCCCTTTTATAGCATAAATTCATTCCTTTTAAATCTTCTTTTCTTTTATGGAGAACACTAAAAGGTAAACTTCCTACAAATGAAAAACTCTCTAACTTTGGCATTGAGCCATCACCTTGTTTTTGTTGTTTTGATAGAGCAGGCATGGACAGCATCGACCACACCTTCAATTCAGGACCTTTTGCAGCTAGGGTGTGGAACTTTTTTGCAGCAAGTGCAGGGCTGCAGGCAGATCACTCATCACTGCAGGCAAGGGTGCAACAGTGGTGGACAGCCAGGCCACAAAATGAAGGCCATCAACTGCTGCTGCAAGCCACGCCAACCTTTATTTGCTGGAATTTATGGAAGAACAGATGCGCATGCAAATACGGAGCCAAAGCAACTAACATCAGCCGCGTCAAATACGCAGTCTACAAAGACACATTCAAGATGCTGAAAATTGCCTTCCCCCACATTAAATGGCCGGCAAGCTGGACAGCTCTAATCCAAACAAGTGAAAAGTGTAAGCATGAAATCAAAGTGTGCATGGTAGCATGGAACAGACCTCCAGAACAATGGATCAAAATAAATACAGATGGAAGCGCTCTCACTAATCTGGGACAGATTGGGGCTGGAGGTATCCTTAGAGACAGAGAAGGCAAAATGGTGTTGGCATTTGCAACACCACTCGGAGAAGGATCGAACAACAAAGCAGAAACTGCGGCTGCCCTCTTCGGACTGTCGTGGGCATTGGAATTAGGATACAGAAATATACTAATTGAGTTGGACTCTCAATTGGTAGTGCAGTGGATCTCCAAGAAAACAGCCCCTCATTGGAGTGTTACTAAACAAATTGAGAGGATCCAACACCTTATCATGCAAACTCAAAATTTCAAATGCACTCATATTTTCAGAGAAGCAAACTGGGTAGCAGATTCACTATCAAAACATAGCCACAACACAACAGCCCCTCAAGTTTACTTCAGCAGCACTCAACTACCTAAAGAAGCACAAGCCTACTACCAAATGGACCTTCTGAACATGCCAAGCTTTAGAAGAAAGAAGACTAAGAAGATTTTTGATCCTCCTTGATGTTATTCCCTTTTCAACTTGGCTATATTCAAATAATATAGCTACTTTGAATAGGGGTATAGGTAGTTAGTTTGACATAGACTTTCCTGTAAAGGGAGAGTCTCCCTAATTTATGTTTCCTAGATACTTTGTAACGAGAGTAGTCCTCTCCTTAGGTGCTTAGTATTTTGGTTTCACCTTTCACTGTAAGGGGCGGAAATTGACATTCTTTGGAACGTCGACTCCAAACCACATTAGGATTGGAGGTTAGGTTTTATGCCCCCCTCTTTGTATTTTGTTTTGTTATTTAATGATAAGGCCTGGGGGTGTCGTTCAGCCCCTACACCTCCAAGGGTTATTCAACTAAAAAAAAACACCTTAGGGTCTAAACCCCAAAATCTAAATCTTAAGCCTAAACCTTACTGCTAAAACCCATAACTCGAAACTCAAACCCAAACCCAAACCCAAACCTAAACCTAAACCTAACTGTAGGGGCTGAATCTTAACTGTAACCTCTAAACCCTAACCCTTAAGGCCTAAAATCAATCCCTAAACTCTAAATCCTAAGTCTTTGATCAAAGTCTAAACCTTTGGGCCTCAACCCTAAACACTAAACCATATACCCTAATGCCTAAACCATAAATCTTAAAACATAAGCCCAATACCTTAGGGTTTAAACCATTAACCCTATACTTTAGGTCCTAAGCCCTAAACCTTAAAGCCTAAACCCTAAACCATAAATCCTAACCCTAAACCTTAGGGCCTAAACTTTATATCTTAAACTTAAGGGCCTAAACCCTAAAACCTTAAATCCGAAACAATAAACCTTAAACCCTACACCCTAGGGCCTAAACCCTAATCTCTGAAACCCTAAACCTTAGGGCCTAAATGCCAAAACCCCAGACCTTAAATCCAAAAGCATTGGGTAAAACCCTAAACCTTATGGCATAAACCCTAAACACTAAACTCTAAACCTCAAGGCCTAGACCCTAAAATCAAAACACTAAATCGTAAACTCTAAACCATAAATCTTAGGTCGTAGACCCTAAAACCTGAATCCAAACCCCTAATCCTTAGTGCCTAAACTCTAAACCTTAGTGCCTACACCCTAATTAAGCTTCTTTTTGATCATTCACAGGTAGCATATCTTTATCCAATTCATCTTCATAGTGAACCACTTTGTAGCCTAATAGAGGATCATGGGAATTATCAGTAGTCTTAGGCAAAAGTTAGGATGCATATAGACATTACGAAAGAAAGACCACGTCATGTTTGGATGGGGTTTCATGAAGAAGACTAAATTGTGGGAAGATGGCAAGCCATCCAATATGAGGTACTACTAGAGTATTGTTCTTATTGCAAACACCAAGGTCACATATCACAACTTTGTATTATAGAGAGAAGAGACGAGGAAGACAAGAAGAGAAAAGAACCTGAAGCTGCAAACAAAATCAAGGGCAAGAAGACTGCAGATGCCAGCAATCAGGTAATTCCCCAAACTTCTCCTCAACAGATTAATGCTAATATGACTGCTACTGTTTCAGGTGTTGATAATACCCAAAACAAATGCAAGAAACACAACCTGAGATGGACAAACAACAAATGGATGAGTGGAAAACTCAAAAAAGGAAAAATAACAAGGGTTAACAAGGCCATGGTCAGCAAAATAAATTCTATAAACCAATGAACAACCTAAATTTGCAGGATAATAATTTTGAAAAGCAGCAGGTGGAGAAGTCAGGTATTGACTTAACCCTCCCACAACCCCCAATTCCCTTGATAAAGTGGATCAAACAGGTCCATGTGATGGTAATCAGAAAGCTCAAAATAAACAGAGCAAGATGGCAAAATAATCGAACCCCTGCTGTACGAGGTGAAGGAGGAAAGAAGACGACTGGAATGCCGTTGACGTCATTGATGAACGTTAGAAGTGGCAGACGCCGGAGTCTCCTCTGTGAACGTTGGAATTGTCGATACTGTGTTGTGAATGTTGTCTTGGAGTTTGAATGGTTTTACAGGAATTTTATTTTATTTTATTTTTTTTCCATAAACATTCCTATGATAATTCCGTATCGAATCTCACATGAACTTAGAAATTTAAATGTTTAGTAATTGGCCTCATTATGGTCCAAAATATGTACGTGTGGGTTTGGACTCAATTTTGATTTTTTTTATGGGTTGGATGTTTGTAATTACGAAATAGCTATAATGAGTTATTTTTTTAAAGAAAATTAAAATTTTTTATAATAATAAATTAACTAACAACCTCAAAAAAATAAATATTAAATATATTTACGTAACAAAATTTTCAAAAAATAATAAATTACAAATTATAAATGAAAAATAAATAAAATGGTTGTGTAGCAACACAAAAAAAAAGAGTTATATATTTAAATAACGAAAATGTAAAAGAAAATAAATTATAAATTGTAAATGCAAAAAAAAAAAACGGTTGTGTACCAACATAAAAAAAAACATTTATATATTTGAAAAATAACTCTCATATTGACACATGGCAGGCGACAACAACACAAGTAAATATTTAAGTAACGAAATTTTAAAAAAACAATAAATAATAAATTATAAATGAAAAAAATAAAAAAAACGGTGGATTTTTTTAAAAAACTTATTAAAAAAATTCTTCCTTTTAAAAACTCCATAATTTAAATTATTATAATTAAAAAATAAAAAATATAAAAATATAAAACAAAATTATAAGCTCACAAATAATTTTAAAGCTAATTATAATTTTCTAAACACTTACAATTTTTGAAATTAATTTCATACTAATTAAAGTACTCAATTATTACATCTAAAAAATTAAAATTAAGAATAAAAAGTTTTCTAAAAGCAAGAATTACTATCATGTTTTATTTTATCTTTGGATTATATAATATAGGAAGAATTTTTTTTAAAAAAAAAAATGTTAAAAAGAAAGAAAAAAAGAATCTCCCGTATGTTTGCTGAAAAATAATCTTCCACGCATCCGCAAATTTTTTATTAAAACAAAATAATCTGCATACATAAATTAATATGCAGCATTTATATATTAAACATATGAAAATAAAATAAAAACAGTAAACAACAAAAAAGATGCTATTTGAAAAAATAAAATAAAAATAATTTAACTATCCTTTTTTGATTTTTTTTAAATGATAGTTATGTAATAAGAATAAATAATAAACTATTGTTTAATTGATAAAATATTTTTAAATAAATGACACGTGGCAAGCGTTTGCAACAAAAAAAGGTTTACATATTTACATAACAAAATTTTAGAAAAATAATAAATTATAGATGAAAAAAACGGTTGTGTAGCAACACAATTTTTTTTAGCAAAAATTTTTAAAAATAATAAATTATAAATTACAAATGCAAAAAATCAAAAACGGTTGTGTAGCAACATAAAAACCCTTTTATATATTTAAATAACAAAATTTTAGAAAAATAATTGTGATATTGATAAATGGCAGGCGACAGCAACAGAAGTAAATATTTAAATAACGAAATTTTAGAAAAACAATAAATAATAAATTATATATGAAAAAAACAGTGAATCTTTTTATAAAACTTAATAAGAATTTTCTTCTCCCTTTTAAAAACTCCATAATTTGAACTATTGTAATTAAAAAAATCAAAAATTAACAAATATAAAACAAAATTATAAGCTCACAAATAATTCTAAAGCTAATTGTAATTTTCTAAACTACTTACAATTTTTAAAATTGATTGCATACTAATTAAAGTACTCAATTATTACATCTAAAAAGTTAAACTTAAGAATAAAAAGATTTTATAAAAGCGAGAATTACTATCATGTTTTATTTTATCTTTGCATTATATAATATAGGAAGAAAATTTTATTTTATTTTTTAAAAAAAGAGAAGATGTTAAAAAGAAAGAAAAAGGGAATCTCCCACGCGTTCCCAGGAAAAAAAAATCTTCCACGCGTCTGCAAATTTTTTATTAAAACAAAATAATCTACATATATAAATTAATATGCAGAATTTTTATATTTAACATATGAAGATAAAAATAAAAATAGTAAACATTAAAAGAAAATGTTATTTGAAAAAATAAAATAGAAATAATTTAACTATCCTTTTTGAATTTATCACTTTTTAAAAATGGTAATTATCTAATTACTATCCAAACGTAAGTTTTTAAAATTTGGCTAGTTATTTTAAAATTTAAAATTTAAAAAATAAAAAAACTAATTTTATCTTATCCCTAGAAAAAAGCCAATCTAATAACTTAGTATTTAAATAGCAAGGACTATTCTCAACTCTTATCACTTAAGTACATATTCTTTAAGAATCTATTGATTTTAGAATTTCATATTCTCTTATATTTATTCAACCATTTGAATACGGTAACATTTTTTATTTTTCCTGTTATTTTTTTATTTTATATTTGTTTATAATGATTAATCTTCGATCTTTGAAGTGATGGTAATATATATATAATTGTGGTTGTATGTGAATGATTTAGGTAGTAATTAATAATTTATTTATTATCGATGTTAAGTTTGAACAGGTCTTGATAATGGTCATGATCATGAAATAATAAATATGGGTATCTGCCTATGGAATCTACTTTTATTTGGTAGATCTATAGAAAATTCTATTAGATCGACGAGAAACACTCTCATAGATGTACTCAATGGAGAATTATATTTACCTTTGTAATTATTACTGTGCATATATAAATTAGATAGCTCTAATTTGAACTTGATCTATTAAATTGTATGCAATTTTTAAGTTTATGAAATTATATAATTTAAATTTTGAATTTACATCTTAAGTTATATAAAAATGTGTTTGATATGTTGAAAAAGTGTCATAATTTGAAATTAACAACATAGTTTCATCTTTTGTTGAGTTAGTTAAGGAAATTCATAGTCATAATTTTATGAGAATTTGCACTTTTCACATTATAATTGTTAGATAACTTAATTTTTTTAAAAAAATATTAATATATTTATCGTAAGTTGTAAGTTTGTACGTTTTGTACTTATTTCAAATAACTATTAATATAATTAATTTGTCTTTGTAATAAAGAAAAGAAATTACTATTTTAGAATTTAAGTTAGAGTCTTTTACTTGATAAAAATCAATTGTTTTTTTCTTATAAAAATAACGTGTAAAAGAGTATTTACATTCTTAAATTTTGAATTTTTTTAAAAATATTAATTAAATAATATTATTAAAAATTGATTAATCAAAGTATCTATTTAATAAAAAATAATAATAGTAATAATCTTTCCACAACCTCGTTAATTATAACAAAACAAATATGTATTACTACTACTACTACTACTACTAATAATAATAATAATAATAATAATAATAATAATATAAACATAATTATTAAATGTATAAAATTAATTTTGAAAATCACGTAAACATAAAAATAACCAACCGATGTAATACTATTTTTAGGACTCTAAATTAATAACTATTTTTTAATCTAAACCGTTTTTTAAAAAAAATAGGACTTTTAATGTTATTAAATAATAAATAACTATTTATTAAATGAGTTTAAAACCAAAAAGTTCTAAAAAAAATAGGACTCTTAAGGGTATTAAGTAATAAATAACTATTTTTAAATAAGTTTATAACCAAATAGTTTTAAAAAATTAGGGGAAAATTCAGTTCAATGGAAAATAAAAATCAACAACGTGGGTCTAAGATAAAAACAAAACAAACTTTGTAAAATTTTGACTTTATTTTAAACGATTGAGGTTTTTGAATTCAAAATTGATGATAACTTCTATTTATAGTTTTGGAGTTTTTAATTTTTTTTTCTTTCGCTATAAATACAAACATCGTACTTACATTCTGTATTATGTATTTTTTTTAAATCATAGTTAAGTTATTTTTATTATGTTTCACGGCTTTCAGCTAACAAATTAAAATATTTTTTTTGATGAGTTTATTTTCTTGCACTATTTTTATAATAAAAATTTGAATGAAGAAAATACTCATTATAAAAAAGAAGATCTTCATTTGAAGGATCCAAATTCAACATAAGATTAAAGCAAAGGTATTGCAACTTAGTATCATATAGTGTATATATATTACAATTATCTGAATGAAAAAGTCTTTCATCTCTTAGAATTAGAGCTTTACAAAAACACTTTAAATATAGTTATAGTGTACACATAAGCAATTGAAGAATCTTCTTAGCGTAAATTATCACTTAATTCATTAAATATAAATTAATTATTAGTTTGATTACTAATTTTATTTTTCTTTTAATTATTATTATTATTATTATAATTATAAGTATTATTATAATTATTATAATTATCATAATTACAATTATCACACAACCTTTTCAGTTTCAAAAGGAAGTCACACACGTTGTTTATTTCCACAAAATATGTCTATGTTTGAGATAAAATTACATTTCTAAAATTCATTTATTTACATCTACTTAAATTTTATATTATTGTCAATTGTTTTAAAATTTATATATAAAAATCTTCTAACCAAAAATATTACCACCAAATAATCAACAAACAATTGACATTTGCAGTGCAACCCTTGGAAGTTTCGTACTTTAAATAATAAAAGTTTTTTAAAAAAAACTGATGCAATTTTTTCCCCATTAAATGTAAAATTTAAAGCAAAAGTTGGATTCTAATTCGAGAATAAATTTACAAATAAATAAATTATGTATACTTTATTAGTTTAGAGTTGATATAGTTATTTTTAATTTGAATTAAGATGTAAACATTTTCAACTATTTAATGAAAAAATAAAAACTTAAATGCATGAGTTTTCTTTTAAATGATTAGTTGGAATTCTCACACCATCGTAATTTGCCCTTTCTAAAATAATTTTAAAATAATTATGAAGATTCAATCATCTTTTTTATCAAACTAAAAATTTTAAAAAAATAGAAAAGAGTCCTATTAGCTGTGGTAACATTTTAATTTCCAATTCAGTAATCATATGATTATGGTGTGTTATGAATAATTCTTATCATAATTTTTATTTTTTATGTTTCAGTTATACTATTTTTTAAATTTTGAAATACATTTATCTACAAAAATAATTTATAATTTAATTATTAATAAAGTGTGAATGGAGAGGAAAAAGAGGAAAAGTAAAATTTTAACTAGGAGTTTATGCTAACTCTTTGTTTTGTTTTTATTGCATATTTTCTTGTTAAATTAATTATATTAACATTTTTTATCATATTACATTTTTAAAAATTGTAATTTATAAATAAAAATTATTTGAATTATGAAATTTCAAAAGGGAAATAGAAAAATCTTAATCAATTTACTTATATTTTAGAAATTCACTAAAATCTCTTTACATAATTCAAATTTAAAGATAAAAATATAATATAAATTTAAAACTCATTCCACTAACTTATTTAAAATTGATCTATCAATTTAAAATAATTAACTGCAATTATATGCATGTGTTATTTTTTTTTGCAAAATATAACTTTTTGTAAAAATTATTTTTTATAAATATTTATTCTTAAATAAAGAATCTTCTAGGATTAATTTTAATTTTAATAATAAATATTAATTTTATGGGTAAGTAATGGTGCATATGATTGCATTAGTATTTTTCAAAAAATAAATCATTAAATATCACAACTATGATGTTCATAATTAATACACAACATGTCGTATCTTTTAAAATATTTTTTTTTACAATTTTTTAATAACAATAATAATAACAATAACAACAACAACAACAACAACAACAACAACAATAATAATAATAATAATAATAATAAAGTTCATGACAGCTAAGGATGGAAAGAACTTTTACGGTTCTAACACGGTCCAAACAACGCCTTATTCACAGCTAACATGGGTCTTACCAGGAACACCGGACTAAGTCAAGATCTTCCTATCCCCGGACTACATTACTTTGACCTAAAGTACATCGGAACATTCCTTTACTTATCACGTAGTAATAGTTTAAGTTGTTGTTAGCCCAACACAAAGTATTTAGCCTATCAATTAGGCTTTTATATATTAAAAATATTTAAATTAATAATAAAAGATAATACCTTAATTAGAGTAGACTCTCAACAATAAATCTTCTAAGTAGAAACAACAACAATTTTATTTATATGGTAGTGGAAATACAAGAGTAGTAATACCCAGAGAGGTTGGCCAAAGTCTTTCCTCTACCTTCTACTAAAAGATCCTTATATAGAATGGACCTGAAGAAAAGTCTAATATTTATGACGTAAGTGCTTACGTCATGTTACATTATTGAACCGACATTGGGGTCCTAACTTTATAAAAGCTTACAATCATCTTAACTTTTGTAAAAGTTAGAGTTTTATCAACTAGTCTTTTCTAGTCTCCTTCCCCTTTAGCGTGTCTGAACTAGAAGATTCTTCTATCTGATTCCTGAACTGTTGAAGAAATATTTCAATGTCCATCTCTTCTGCGCTATGAATTCTTTGGGATTCTCCAGCTATAAAGGTGTCTTCTTCTTCATTTGAGGTAGCCATAGATATATTATTCGAAAATTTCATGCCCATATTTTTTATTAGATCTTTTTTGACTTCTTCCATGTATGAAGTAAGAAGTTTCAATTTTGAGATGGCTCCTTTCTTCATCTGTAGCCTTCTGGTTATTAATTTGAAAGGATTGATATCATCTCGACCTTGTATGACTTCTGATTAACGCTTGTTGATCTCGATAGAGTCTTTAATGGAGTTTATAATCTCCTGTCCATTTCATTATCCATGGAGCATAGAATTATATGAAAAATTACATCAATGACATTTCTTTAAAAATGACATCATCTTTTTGTAATTTTATCAATTTAGGTGATACATCAACCCATTCAACATATAACATTTTGTATTCCTCTGGCAATATATTTATAGATGGACCATATAAAATCCACCATTGACAAAACCAATTTGGTATATGCTGCTTATAAACGTGAGAGCATATTTTTATAAACTATGAATGATTTCTATTAGAGTTTTCATATAACAAGGTATTATTAAAGCTCTCAATATAATCCCAGTAATTAAACTTGAGTGCAATTTTTTGTTATGGATGGGTGCATTCTCTTTCTTTCATCGTGCTTATTCCCCATTCTTCTGGGGGTGAATATCATTTTTCTAATGAATTTTGAAATTATAAACCTTTTTAGTATTGGCTAGGTAAAAGTGCTCAAATTCAGCTAACTCAATAGATGAGAGTATTATCTCATAATATATTCTGTATTTATAAGTTGGGACAATATATGATGTTGTATCAAAATACCTGGTCATTCTTTGCCATGGATCGTCTTTCCAATGTAAATATATGGGCTCAAGAAGAAGTCTTACCTTATCTTTCTCATTTTTATCATATACTTCAATATTTTCATTTCCTTCGTCAGTTACAACTGAAGAATAGGATGGTGGGTTATTACCCTGAGCTTGTTTGGATTGTATAAAATTCATAAATTCTTTGTACATTTGATGTTCAATGTCAATTCCCAATGTGCTTGTATATGCTCCTGCAATGTTTGAAGTTGTTAGCTTCTGGTTTCCTATTTAGGCCAAGATATTATTTCTTCCCATGAGTGCTTTTCCTCTTCCTTCCTCTATTAGAGGAAGAATTTCCCGATGGCCGCATCAATCCTGGTATTAATAGATAAAGAGTTATTAACTTAAATATTCTCTAGTAAAAAAATCGGGAAGACTATTATATGTTCCCTTTTTATAATGTATTTCAAAATCAAAAGGTGCTAACAAAGCTTTCAATCTTACAAACATTTGTTTTGAAACATCATGTTTTACATATGTATTAAAGATGAATTTCTCTGCTTGACACTTATGATAAATTTTTGATTATATAAATCTCTTTGAAATTTTAAAACACTTTTAACTATAGCCAAAATTTCTTTACCTATAGTAGATATTTTTTTAAATAATATTCCATTTTCCAGAATAGAAGTGTATGATATATTCTTGTTTTTTCATTAAGAGAAATTTGTTTTAAAATACCCCCGTAGCCAATATCAGAGGCATCTGTTTCCACTATGTTCTGCCAATTCGGATTGGCTAAAGTGAGGCAGGGTAGGTTATTAACCGTTGTCTTAATGTTATTGACTGCTTTAGTATGATTATCAGTCCAAGCTTTAGGATTTTTTCTAAGTCTATCATATAGTATAGTTGTGTCTTTAGACAAATCTTTTATAAAAAGAGAGATGTAATTTAAACTAACCAAGAATCATTGGATCTAAGTTTTATCAGTAATAACATCAGGGAATTTTGAAGCAAACTCTATACTTCTTTAGATGGGAATAATTTTTCCTTTTTCAATATTATGGCCTAAGAATCTAACATTAGTTTGTAAAATATGCATTTTTGGTCTAGATATAACCAAATCATTCTGAATAATAATTTTCTTAAATAGATCAAGATGTTTAAAATGCATTTATATGGTTTTTGGAAATACCAAAATATCATCTATACATACGATGATAAAATTGCTAAAGGGCTTAAAAAATATCATTCATAATTTTTTGAAATTTCGAAGGAGCATTTCTTTATTCAAAAGGCATAATATTCCATTCATATTATCCCATTGGGACGTTAAAGGCTGTCTTATATTTATCTTCTTCATAAATTCGAATTTGCCAATAACTTGATTTTAAATCAAAATTTGAAAATATGATAGCTTCATGAAGTCGATCCAATAAATCTTTTTTATTGGGGATAGAATATCTGATCCATTTTAAAACTTTATTTAGCGGTTTATAATTTATGACAAGTCCAGGTACTCCTTTCTCTTATTCTGCTTGTTTATTAACATAAAAAGCAGTACAAGACCATGAAGATTTTGAGGGTTTTATTGAACCCTTTTGGAGAAGATTATCAATCTCTTTTTAATATAAATTTAGATATTTCGAATTTATTTGGCATGGTCTTGCCTTAGTAGGAATATTATCTTTTAAAAATTCTTCTTCATAAGGAAGACTCACCACATGCGAGTCCTTTCCCAAATACATTTGGGTGGTCACCACATATTTGTAGAGAGAATTGACTCTTCAAAATCTCAATGTTTCCTTGGATTTTAGGATTTTGTAAAGTCTCTTCAATTGTAAGATTACAAATTGCATTTTAAAGAAAATCAATTTGTTTATTTTTTAAAGAGATCATATCTTTAACCTCATTAACGAATTTTGAAAATGGTTGAGATATCAAATCTATTCTTATTTTTCTTCCTTCGAAATTACCAGTAATTTCGTTCTCATTCCATGAAGTTGTAGGATATATATGCCAGTAAAAAGTCATTCCTTGAATGATTTCGTTAGAAATATTTTTTATTAACAAAGCTTTCAGGCATACATATATTATTTGTACATATATATGCTTTAGGAATTTTATATTCAATATCCATTTTATGACCACAAGCATTACAAAGACTATGTGTAGTCTTTTTAAAATATCTTGATGAAATTAATCCTTCTTGAATGCAATTTAAATCAGCTCCACTATTAGAGCAATAAAATCCTTTTTTAGGTTATAATCAATAAAAAGAGTAATTTTTGCTAAAGGTTTATGTGCTGTAATTAGCTCAATAGTTTCTAAAAATAATTCTCATTATCAATAGACTCACTAGGGATGTCAGGAAGATTACTTTTTGGAACATTATAGGAGGATCATCTTCAGCTCTGACATGTTTTCTATGATGATTTTTGTCCTTACTTTCTATATAAGTAATTCTTTCATCAATAATCATATTATGGTTTTTGAGAAAAAGATATTTCTTTTTTTGAGATTATTTATCTCCTCAACCAAGTCTTGGATTGTAGTAGGAATGTGATCCATTTGAGACCTCAGTTTTAGTTGTCTTCTAACCTCTGCCATGGTATAAACATTATTATGAATAGGATTTTCTTTAGGAATTCTAGTATTACTAGTAGAGGTGCTGGTATTACCAATTTTGTCGATAATTTGGGAACTTAATGTTGGGTCATCAATCATCCTAAGAATTTATATTCAATTGTCATTACTTATAACATCGATGTTTGAGTCCTTGAACTGAGAGTATAACTGATAGAATTCATCCTTATCTTTATCAAAAGGTTGGCCAATCTTGCAAGACGTACATTCTTCCTCAGATGAGGACATGTAGTCTTGTTCATGATGAACTTTTAGGTCTTCACTAGTAGAGGATCCCTCTCCGTCACTATTATTAGAACTTAAATTTTATGAAGAGGAATTTGATGTACCGTAGTTTTACGATAATTTTAGTGCTTTTTCCTTAGGTTTCGTATGTGTCTAAAGCTTTTTTGTATTAGTTTTAATGTATTTTCACTTTGTTTGCAGGAAATCTGTCTAGAATGAAAACGCGAATGAATTATGCTGAAACTGCAAAAGTGACTACCAACGTAGCTATCGACGGTCCATTAGTGGCCACCATCGTATGAAGGAAAAGAATTGAATGAAGATTGGGGAATTCTGACTAAGTGTGGCGATACGGAGGCTCTCGACGGACCGTCATCTCCACGACGGATCTTGCTTCACATCCGTCATCGTCAACAGAAAGTAGCCCCAATACCCATCTTGAAAAGAAGCAAATTTCGGAGTGGACCACGACGGTTCATCGTGGACTTGACGACCGTCATCTAGGTTTTTGACTCAGACGCGGTTTTTGGGCAGATTTTTCTTAAATAGATTTCCCTATTTTATTAGGACTAGTATTATAAATACTTGTAAAAACCTCATTTTTGAGGTTAGACTCTTGGGTATTTTTTAGATTTTATTATTCTAGTTGTGAACTTGTGATTTTGGGAAATTATTCTATTTTTTGGAAATCGTTTATTGCAAGCTTATTGATTAATTCAAGTAATTTTCTGGGTTTTCTTCAATCTCATCAAAGTAAGTGCATGAATTATTATCAAACTAATAAGAATTGTGTGATTATTAACATGGGTAACTAAACCCATAGCTAGGGTTGTGGGAACCATGGGTAATTAACAAGGTAAAAACTAGTTGAAATAATAATCCTAGAATAATGTCTTGCATGTATTGATAATTCTTTCGTTTAGAAGTTTTTTTTAACGAGTGCACGTGTTAGAACTCGCCTTGTTGCTACTTGCCGGACCAAGGATGTAGATAATAAGAAAAGAATTATCAATGTAGATTTAGTATATACTATCTAATATGCTAGTGTCAATTAGTGCAAAGTAACAACTAATACATACATCGATTATGATACTTAATATGAGGTAAAGGTAAGGTTTAGTAAAGCATACACACGTAGCCAGACCAAGGTGCGAAGTGAAATTCCCTAGTTGCTGGACCAAGGAATTAGGGATACATAACTTATCACTTTGCATGAAAGATACTAGGAAAAGATTGTTATAGCTAGAATCACCGCGTTATGAGACTGTGGGGAACACTTAAGCCCTAGTTACTTTCATTACTTGATAAAAATCAAATCTTTGAACTTGCCACTTGTTTACTTAGACATAGCTAATTACATTCGTTACTTAAAACCCCCTTTTTGTTACTTGTTTTCAGAAAGGACTTAACTAAATAAAAGTAATAGTAGATTAAAGTTAAGTCTATTGAACGGTGAAGAGGCTTATTGAAATGCTCTACGATGTGTTAGTTAAGGTGGAGTCATTCATATTTCTGGCCAATTTTGTGATTCTGGATTGTGAGGTTTATTTTGAGGTGCCTATTATTCTTGGGAGGCCATTCCTTGCTACGGGTAGAGCCTTGGTTGATATGGAGAAAGGGCAAATGAAATTTCGGTTGAATAATGAAGAAGTGACTTTCAACATTCGTAGGTCCATGAGGCAGAGTGGTGAGAACCAATTGGTATCTGCCATATCTTACAGGGTTGAAAAGTCACTTGAGGTACAAATAGAAGAGCGTCTGGGTGTAGAAGCACTAGCGGCAGTGATCATGAATTTTGGTAGTGATTGCATTGAAGAGTATGGGTTATTGGTCGCGACACTTGATCGAGGTGATGTTCGATTTAAATTAAAGAAGTCTCCACCTGCGAAACCATCTATAGATGAGGCTCCAAAAGTAGAAATTAATGCTCTACCACCTCATATGAGGTATGTATTCTTGGGAAAAGGTGACACTTTGCCGGTAATTATTGCATCAGATTTGAATGTGCATCAAGTTGAGAGTTTGGTAGAGGTGTTAAAAAGGTCCAAAAGATCTATTGGGTGGACTATTGCGGACATTATTTGGATCCCTCCCGGGATTTGTTCACATAAAATCCAACTCATTCCAATCATAAGCAAAGTATTGAGCACCAGAGACTTTTAAATCCACCTATGCAAGAGGTGGTGAAGAAGGAAATCATTAAGTGGTTGTTGCTGGAGTGATATATCCAATCGCTGATAGTAGTTGGGTATTCCCTGTTCAGCGTGTACCTAAGAGAGGGGGAATGATTGTGGTCCCCAATAAGAAAAATGAGCTTTATCCAATGAGGCCGGTGACTGGATGGAGGGTAATGATAGATTACCAGAAATTAAATGCATGGACCGAGAAGGACCATTTTCCTATGCCCTTCATGGATCAAATGTTGGATAGATTTGCAGGAAAGGGGTGGTACTGTTTTTTTGATGGCTTTTCAGGTTATAATAAGATTTCTATTGCACCGGAAGATCAAGAGAAAACCACCTTTACTCTTCCTTATGGGACCTTCACATTCAAGAGAATGTCGTTTGGGTTATGTAATGCACCAACCACATTACAGAGATGTATGATGTCAATATTCTCTGATATGGTGGAGGATACTATTGAGGTGTTTATGGATGATTTTTCAGTGGTTGGTGACTCCTTTGAGTGGTGTTTGAGTCATTTGTCCGAGGTTCTTAAGAGGTGTGAAGATTGCAACCTTGTGCTAAATTGAGAAAAATGTCACTTCATGGTGAAAGAAGGTACTATATTGGGTCATCACATTTCAAACAAGGGTATAGAGGTGATCAAGCTAAAGTTGAGGTGATAGAGAAACTTCCTCCACGTATCTCTATAAAAGGTGTGAGAAGTTTTCTTGGGCATGCAGGATTTTACTAGAGGTTCATCAAGGATTTTTCAAAGATTGCACATCCTTTGTGCAAGTTGTTTAAGTTTCATTTTGATGAATCTTGTCTTAAGACATTTGGTGAGTTGAAGGAAAAGTTGGTGTCTTCACCTATCATCATTTCTCCGGATTGGAGCAAGCCTTTTGAGGTAATGTGTGATGCGAGTGGGGTTGCTCTTGGTGCGGTATTGGGACAAAGAAGGGAGAAAATCCTTCATCCCATTTACTATGCTAGAAAGCCCTTAATGAATCCCAAAAGAACTACACCGTGACTGAACAAGAGCTCCTTGCAGTAGTCTTTGCTTTCGAGAAATTTTGCTTCCATTTGCTTGGCACGAGGTTTATAGTGCATACTGATTATTCTGCTTTAAGATATTTGATTGCAAAGAAGGATGCGAAACCGAGGTTGATTTGTTGGGTATTACTATTGCAAGAATTTGACTTTGAGGTGAAAGATAGAAAAAGGACTGAAAATCAAGTTACTGATCACTTGTCCTGATTAGAAGATGAAGCAATGAGGGAGTTAGGTGAAAAGTCTTAAATTTATGATACTTACCCTGATGATCATGTACTTGCTACCTCCCAAGACTTGATTCCATGGGTTCGCACATTTTGCAAATTATATGTCTAGTGATATCGTCCCACCAAACTTGTTCTTTCATCAAAGGAAAAAGTTCATGCATTATGTGAAAAATTTCTTTCGGGATGAGCCATACTTATATAGGAGTTGCGCCGATGGGCTTATTCGGCGTTGTGTGCCTGAAGTTGAGACGTTGAGTGTTTTGGAGGCATGCCATTCTTCGCCTGTAAGTGGGCATTATAGTGGTATCCGGACTGCTCACAAGATCTTGAAGTGTGGCTACTATTGGCCAACCATCTACCAAGATGCTCATGAGTTCGCCAAGGCATGTGATAGATGCAAAAGAGATGGTTGTATTTCGAGAAAGCAAGAGCTCCCTTTAAATCCCATTCTTGTGATTGAATTGTTTGCTGTGTGGGGCATTGAATTTATGGGCCCTTTTGCGAGTTCTCATGGGATGAATTACATTATTCTGGCAGTCGATTATATGTCAAAATGGGTAGAAGTTATCGCATTTGTGAATAATGAAGGGAAGAGTGTCACCGCGTTCTTGAAAAAGAACATATTTTATAGATTTGGCACCCCAAGGGGTATTATCAGTGATGGGGGATCCCACTTTTGCAACAAGCTGTTTAAGGGATTATTGGAATAATATGGGGTTCGCCATAATGTGGACACTCCTTACCATTCTCAAACTAGTGGGCAAGTTGAGTGTCAAAAAGGGAATTAAGCAGATTTTGGAAAAAACGGTGAATTCTAGTAGAAAAGATTGGTCAAGGAGGCTTGATGATGCTCTTTGGCCTACCGGACAGCATACAAGACTCCCATAGGTATGTCCCTACACCAACTTGTATATGGGAAGGCTTGTCACTCATCGGTTGAATTAGAGCATAAGGCTATGTGGGAAATGAAGAAGTTGAAAATGGATTGGAATAAGGTTGCGGATCAGAGGTTAAACAGGTTGAATGAGCTTGATCAATTTCTCTTGAAGGCATATGAAAGTTCATCCCTCTACAAAGGAAAGATGAAGAAGTACCATGACCAAAAGATTGAGAAGCGCAATTTTTTGGTTGGGGATTTGGTGTTTTTGTTCATTCTAGTTTGCGTTTGTTTCTGGGCAAACTCAAGTCCAAATGGACTGGTCCCTATTTGATCACCCAACTATTCCTACATGTTGCGGTTGAGTTGGAGAATAAGGAGGGTATGAGGTTCAAGGTGAACGGGCAACGACTCAAAATCTATCTAGGGCATGCTCAAACAGCGAAGGAAGTGATCAAGGCATACCATCTTGATAAAGTCTGAGTAATCAAGAGTCCTCCATCGTGCCGTGACGTTAAATCAAGCGCTGATTGAGAGGCAACCCAATATGTATCCTCTAGCCAACTATAGGTTTTTCATGATTTTCTAGGCATAGTTACATTATTTTTGCTTTTATTACTTATGTCACGTCTGAATGTTCCTTTATTTTTCTTTAGAAGTGTTGGTTAGAGCGTACAGTAGGGTCCGTGTCTAAAAAGTGTTCAGAAAACACAAAAAGATTAGCTTAATGGGTGTTAAATGTGCGGGGACCAAATCCCCAGAAATCTGTAGAAAATTGGTCTGGTACACCCATCGACGGACCCATCGACACACCGTCGTCCCTTCAACGGACCGTCGGTAGGATCCGCCGTGCCATGGTATGTTATTTAAATTTTTCCAAGTTTGGGAACTGTCGACGGAAGGATCGATGGACCGTCGACCGGCTTACGGTCCGTTGACAGGGACTCGTCGATCCCTCACCCACAAACCCGACCCGAACCGTCCGGCTACATATTAAAAGTTTTTGAACTCTTCAGTTACCCACCTCTTCACATAACCCCCATAACCATTTCCCTCCCTGTTCCTCTCATTTCCCCCCACTTTCTTACCCATTCACTCCCATTCCATCATTAGATTCCCACACTTCCCCACTTCCACAAAATCCATTCTCTCCCAAAATCTCCCATTTTCTTCAATTCCTTTGTCAATCGGTGTTCATGGTGGTTGTTGCTGATGATTAACTACTAGTGTTCATACTCTTTCTCCTCTACTACAATTGTCAGTTATGTTTTCTGAGCTGCAAGATTAGATTTGTTAATATTCCTAATTAATGTGATGTCGAACTGTTTGAGTACTTAATTTGGACTATTTTGCATGCTAAAACTTACACACAAAAGTCCTAAGTCCCTTAGAA